GTCTCTACTAAAAATACAAAAAATCAGCTGGGCATGGTGGCACGTGCCTGTAATCCCAGCTTCTCAGGAGGCTGAGGCAGGAGAATTGCCTGAACCCAGGAGGCGGAGGTTACGGTGAGCCGAGATCGCGCCATTGCACTCCAGCCTGGGTAACAAGAGCGAAACTCCATCTCAAAAAAAAAATAAATAAATAAATAAAAATAAAGAGGTCAAATAAGGGTATTTTTATGATGTTGGAGCTATTTTGTCTTTAATTGTGGTGGTAGTGACACAATTTTATGCATTTGTCAAAATGCGTAGAACTGTACACCAAGAAGAGTGAATTTTACTATGTGTATGTTTTAAAAATAAAAATTAAAAGTTTAAAAGAGATATCTTACCTATCAGATTGGCAAAAATCCAAAAGTTTGACACTACGTGCTATTAGCAAGGCTTTGGGGAGACAGGCACCCTTTATATTAATACATTGCTGGCAGGAAGGCAAAATGTTACAACATCTATGGAGGGTAATTTGGCAATATCTAACTAAACTACACATGTATTTATCCTTTAATACAGCAATCCCACATCTAGTAACCTACCTTGGAGAGATACTTCCAACAATGTAAAAATATATGTGCACAAAGTTATGCATTTCATCATTATTGAAATTGGAATATTCTTGAAAGTACCTAAATGTTCAAACATAGGAGATTGATTGAATATACTATAGCACATATACACCACAGATTTTGCAGCTGTAAAAAAGGAATGAGGAAGACTTATGTAAAATGATAATGGATTTTATGCTACATTTGTGTGAAATAGAAAGAGAAATAAGAAAACATACAGGTATTTGCCTATTTTTGCAAAAGGAAATACACGAAAGATAAACCAGAAATTAATGAAATTCTTTACCTACAGGAATTGGTGGAAATGGAATGCAACAGTTAAGGGAGGGAATGACTTAGGTACACCAGTCTGTTTAGTTTTGACTTTTGGAATAATGTTAATATTTTAAATAGTCAACATGTACAATCAAATCATTTAGTTTTACAAGATGAAAAAGTCCTAGAGATGGATAATGGTGATAGTTGCACAACAATGTGAATATCACTAATGCCACCAAACTGTATATATTTTATTTATTTGTTTGTTTGTTTTGAGACGAAGTTTTGCTCTTGTTGCCCAGGCTGGAGTGCAATGGTGTGATCTCAGCTCAATGCAACCTCCACCTCCCGGGTTCAAGAGATTGTCCTCCCTCAGCCTTCCGAGTAGTTGGGATTACAGGCATGTGCCACCGCATCTGGCTAATTTTTTGTATTTTTAGTAGAGACGGGTTTTCGCCATGTTGGTCAGGCTGGTCTCAAACTCCCGACCTCAGGTGATCTGGCCGCCTTGGGCCTCCCTAAGTGCAGAGATAACAGGTGTGAGCCACTGCACCTGGCCTATTTTATTTATTTTTGTTTTTGTTTCGAGATAGATAGGTCTCAGGCTGGAGTGCAGTGGTGTGATTTTGGCTCATTGCAACCTCTGCCTCTCGAGTTGAAGCAAGTCTTATGCTTCAGTCTCCAGAGTAGCTGGCATTACAAGTGCGTGCCACCATGCCTGGCTAATTATTTTGTATATTAGTAGAGACAGGGTTTTGCCATGTTGACCAGGCTGGTCTTGAACTCCCGGCCTCAAGTGATCCGCCCACCTCAGCCTTCCAAAATGCTGGAATTACAGGCGTGGGCTATCACACCCGGCCGGGAAATGTATATACTTTACAAATGTAAATTTTATGTATATCAACAAGTTGTTTGTTGTTGTTGTTGTTGTTTTTTTTGAGACAGAGTCTCATTCTGTTGCTCAGGCTGTAGTGCATGGCACGTTCTTGGCTCACTGCAGTCTCAATCTCCAGGGCTTAAGCAACCCTCCCACCTCAGCCTCCCGAGTAGCTGGGACTACAGGTGTGCACCACCATGCTTGGCTAATTTTAATTTTTTTTTTTTTTTTAAATGAGGTATTGCCATATTGCACAGGCTGGCACAAGCTTTTTCTTTTCTTTTCTTTTAAATAAAATCTGTAAGAATGGGAGAAAAACTAAAATTTAATACAAACAGAATAAAAGGAGCCCAACTT